CTCTCCTCATCTGAAGTCAACATGTGGCCCTATGAAAATGGGCCTTAGTCCACTGCCTCTGTTTATTCTTCTGAAATGTCAAGAGAGCAAAATGTCCAGGAATACAATAGTGTGAAAGTCTGGGGTAGGGGTGAGGGAATGGTTCAGGAGTTCAGGAGTGAAGTCCATGCTGGCTTTTGGAAGCAGGCCAGTGCTGATGCCCTGAGGAGTGAGAAGACGCTGCCAGGACCCAGCCTAGTGGTAGCTGAGATAATGGACTCCAGGAGAGGAGGCAACACTTATTCTCGGCAGTAACCTTGTTTGTCTTTCAGCGGATATAGTTACAATACTCTCTACTCTTACACATGCAGTACAGGAGGGTTTTTTCCTTCTTTCCTAAATGTTTAAAACTACAAACCAAGGTGTGGAGCTCCAGATATTTGAATGTGTGAGTTTCAAACATCTGGAAATGCACATACTAAAATAAATGCAGCTGTGTTTATTTCAATGATTACACATTCAAACACATACAATATATTTACTTAGATGTGTGATCCCATATCCATGTAAGAACATTCAAACACATGCATTCAGTGTAGTGATATGAATGTGCAATTGAAAAATCATTCAAGGAAATACATTCATTACTTCTACTTACATCTCAGGGCATTTATTCAAATAATGTATTTATTAATATACAATCACTGCTCTTTTTCTAATTCTAAAACCAGTAAAATTGAAATACCCTGAAAGATTAATGAAAGTTATAGTGGAGAATTCAAGTCAGAAAAGTTAAAAAAAAAAAATCCTGCAGTTGCGAATTTCACAGTTAGCCAATGTTTGATGGCAGTCCCATCGTGGAAGAACTCCAATAATTCATCTTGTAGGAATATATTAAACTTTGTTATGTTCCTAGGACAAGGTAATGAAAACATTTGCAAGTGGGAAATTCTTCTTTCCTTCAGGAAGTTATTGGTCCATAACGATTGCTATTTTAGGTTGTCCTCAGAGTACTTGTTTAGTTTATTGCACAGTGCTGACTTTAAAAAAGAAAAAAACAAAACAAAAAGCAAACCTGATCCAATATTTGTAACCAAACTTGGCCTGGATATTGTGTCAAAATTCTGAGTCAGAACTGGAAAGACTTTAATAGCTGCTTCTCATATCTCTGAGTTTAGACCCCATGAAAAAGAAATATGAGAGAAAGCATAGTTTGGTGCACTAAACTAATCTTAAAATTATTTTTCAACAAATGATAATGATGATTTTTATGTTGTAGAATGAACTTCTGCAGTATGAAGGGATAAGATTAATAACCAGAATTAAATGAAGAAAGGATTGCAACAATGAAGAGCACGGAGGTCAAGAAATAGTAGGGATTATCTTTTAGCCTTTTCTGTGTCCTTGTTGCTTAGCATAGTGCCTGGAACATAGCAGGCACTTAATAAATACTGACTGACTGACAAAAAGAAGAATTGAAGCTAATGGAAACGATTAATTTTGGGGGGCGGGGGTAGGGGGGAGAGCTTTATCATTTTCTTGGAATCAGTTCTGAGCTCTGAATGTGAACATCACTTTGAATCATCTCTGAGTCATCAGTAGGGGCCTGCCAGGGTCATACTACCATTGCCACCCCTGCCATTGTAGGGCTCATACCCCTGTGAGGCTATTGCAATCAGCAAGACATCAGGATTGAGATTCCGTGAGGAGTCAACAGATGGAGAACATACTTCTCACTTGCCTTCATCAGCATAGATTCTTCCAAAAACAAAAACTGGCACTGTACCTGGACTCAGTTCCCAATAGTTAGCAAACTGTCATTCCCTCTTATTCTCCACATCTCCGCCATCCAGAATCCCAAGCTACTTGAAAAGAAAACAGCCCTCTTTGGCTGCTGGCAGCCACCTCATTTTCCTTCACCTCAACACTATCCTCACGATATGCCACTCCAGATTTGCCTACCCATTCCAATGTGTTTCTGGAACTTCTATAGTTATATGGTTGCCCTATAGTTAATAAATAAGAAACTTCCCCTCATTTACCACATTCTATTTGTATTGTATTTATTTTGGTAAAGATTTTATGTTCAAATTAGGCTAGAATTAGGACTAAGAATGTGCCTAATATATAGTAGGTTTAAAATGCCTATTTATTGAATAAATGAATAAATGCACCTAACTTTACAGATTAAATAAACTTTATTTGTTAAATTTCATCTGATACCCAACATTTGTTGCAAAAATTATACTTAATAATAAGTGCTACAATTAGTCAATACTATTGTTATTGTTTAGTCATTTCAGTCATGACCCCATTTGGGGTTTTCTTAGCAAAGATACTAGAGGGGTTTGCCATTTCCTTCTCCAGTTCATTTTACAGATGAGGAAATTGAGGCAAATGGGGTTAAGTGACTTGCCCGGGGACACAGAGCTAGTAAATGCCTGAGGCCAGATTTGAACTCAGGAAGATGAGTCTTCCTGACTCCAGGTCCAGTGGTCTATCCACTGTGCTATCTAGCCCATCAATATCATTAATGTACATATTTGTAAAAATATGGACTACATGTAAAGAGATTTCTGTTTTAGCCAAGAAAGGTATAAAGGCCTGGTGGAGATCATACTAGGTTGGAAGTCAGGAAACCTGGGTTCCAGTTCTGACTCTGCTACTTACAATCTTGGTTACCTTAGGCAAGCCAATGATCCTCTTTGAATCTCAGTTTCCTTATCAGTAAAAGAAGGGGGATATACTGAAATTGCCAAAAGTTTCTAATTCTGTGATAATGACTTTGCATGGTGTATGTTACTGTTTTCTGTATTAGAGTATAAAGGGAAAGGGTTATACCAAACTACTACCCAAATCTTGAGAGATCCTCTGACGTACGAGGGGAAAGATTTAGGAATTGTGCCCAATAGCAGGGAGAGTCTGGAGCTCAGTCCTTAGATCTATCTAAACTCCATTAGATTGTTAGAACATTGGCTCCATTTTTGGCAGCTGCTTTGCAGGTTGAGTTAGATTGGGTCATAGATAACCACAGAGAAATAGCCACTAGTGTACTAAGAAACAGTGTCATTAGTCAATCACCTTGTTATTTACCATGATATTATGCTTTTTAATTTGAATTAATCAATATTATTGACACTGTGGTATGAACATAAGTGGGACAGATGCAGCATGGGATGGATTACCTGGATGCCTCTCAAAGTTTTCTTGAGAGTCCTATGTATTTTGTGAATGCATTATTCTGACATTTTAAAGGCATTTAATGTTCGTTTAAACTCGTGTTGGGAAAGTGTATATCCTAAAACTTGGTGAAACCTTTCCTGTGAGATATGTGTTGCTAAAGATAGGGAATAGATATGAGTGTAACCCTTAGTTGGAACCTAATTTTATGTGAGAATAAACAGAGAAATGGAGACGCTTTCCCAGGACTCCATTAGAATGACATCATGGAACCAAGGACTTTTTATGGGATAATTTTAGGGTCATTAGAATTTGCAAGGACTAAGAAAAATTCTCCACTCAAAACTTTCATTATTTGGATACCCTGGTTTCAGGAATCCACTAGAGGAAAATTAGCATTTAGAAAACAAAAGTGTTGTTTTCTTTTCAGACTGTAATTAGACATTGTTTTCTGGTATGCTCCCTTTACTAGTCAGAGCACTTTTTTTGAGATGACTTAAGTTTGTTTGAATACTTACTGATATCTGTTGTATTACTGTACTGAATACTCAAGATCAAGCAAAAAATTAGTTACATGTACCTTACAAAGTTCTTTTTAATTTTTTTTTAATTTAACAGACCTAGACTACTTGCCTTATGTGTATCCTTATTTAAGTTTTGCAAAGTACTTTGCATACATTATGCCATTTAATCTTCATAACAGTCCTGTTAGGTAAGCACTATAGAGATTATCCCCTTTGCACAATGCCTGGCCTGGAGTCACACAGCAGGTTAAATGACTGAGGCTGGATTTGAAACTAGCTGTTCTGCTATGCTGGGCTGCTACTCTAGATGATTTTTAAGATCTCCTCTAGATCTAACTCCTATTCTCCTACTCTCCTGTATTACACCTCAGAAATCACCTTGTCCAATCTCTTCATTTTACAGAAGGAAAGTGGGATTCAAGAGGGGTGGAGTGACCAAGATCATACAGGTAGTAAGTAGCAGGACTGGGGTTTGAATTTAGCCTTTTTATTCCTGCTGATTTTATTTTTTTTTAATCTATCTATCTACTTTACTGGAGGCAGAAACTGGTTTTAAAACCCAAGTGATTGCCATCCTGGGATAAAAAAAAAAGGGATATACATAAGGAGAACTCTCAGGGTAGGAATCCCAACACTGCCAATATTTGGCTTGGTTCCAGTGACTTCCCTGTAGTCCTCAGTTTCTTCATTTGCGAAATAAGGGGTGTTGGACTAGAAATCAGAGTTTTTAACCTGGGATCTCTGAACTTTAAAAAAATGCACATATAGTAAAAGTAATATAAAATTTATAATTTGCGTTATATAGTTAGGTACAAATTATGTAAAATGTGCATATATGTGATAAATGTGTGCGTATGCATATGTATGTGTGTATATAGTCACTTTTTTTTTTTTAAGCTCAGGAACCTCAGCTTAAAGACCCTGATTTCCAGTCCACCCCTCCCCCCTATGTCGATGACGACTTTATTCAATATGATTTTCTTTTTGTAATCTTATGTATTTTATGCATTTAAAAACATTACTCTGGGGCAGGGTTCAAAGGCTTCACCAGGGAGGTCCATGACCCAGAAAAAGCTAAAAACCCTTTAGCTGGAACCATGTCTAGGTCCTCTTCCATCTTTTAACACCCCATGAATCCAGGAGATGGAAATTTACATTCCCTTCTAAGATTGAAAGACAGCGAATGCTAAAACGACCAATCAGAGAGCAGGCTGACGGTTGCTTCCACTCACCCCATACCTCTCTGGCTTTGGGGCTGACCCCCTGTGGCCAATCAGACAGCGGAGCCCATGGTTTGTTCCGCCCCCTGTAGCCAGAGTGACAGCACGAAGGAGGGTTACGTCTGCCAACTGCTGGATTTCCCAAATTTGCCTGCCCTTTAGGTGCGAGCTGAGGTGTGTGAGTGTCGGGGACCAGCGGGATTGGGGAGGCCCTGGCCTGGACGATCCCCCGCCATCCGGGTCTGAAAACAGGAGCCCTCGTCTCGTAGGAGGCGCGGGAAGGAAGGTGGGGAGCATTTAAAGACGCTGGGGAAGGAAGTGGGGAGTGGATGGAGGGGTTGGGGGGGCGTTGCCACTTTGTGAGAACAGCGAGACCTCGCGGTTGCTAGGGAACGCGTCCTCTCTCCCTTCCCATCTCCTACTCCTCCACCTCCCTCCTCGCCAGCGTGTCTCACTCCGCTGGGCGGGCTCCGTACAGTCTATGGGGAACCGGGAGCCCCGCCTTCTTTTCCTGGAGTTCTGTGACTCGGGGTTGGCTCACTCAGGCTGTCAGTCACATCTTGGGGGAGATTTATTTACCTTTGCCCTCTCCTTTTTTGTGATCTTTTTGGTACTACCTGACCTAATAATGTTCTTATCTCACATCTCTCCAAAGAGAGAGAAAGAAAGAGACAGTGAGATAGAGACAGACAGAGAGACACAGGAAAATAGAGCAAGGTCGGGGGGGCGGGGTATTCCTTTAGGGTATCGTTTTCTTGTGTGCCCATAAAATCTGCCAAGACGAGGGGAGTATGTGGCAAGGTTAGATCCTCCTTGCCCTGCCCAGATCCCATACAATCCTTTTCTCTTCCCCGCAAATCACTGCAGAGGTGACCCAGAAACAATCAATCAATCAACATTTTTAAAGCATCTGCTATATGCCAGGCACTGTCCAAAGCAAAGCGTTGAAGATACAAAATGAGGCAAAAGACAGCTCCTGCCCTCAAGGAACTTGCAATCTAATGGGTAGGGGGAGACAACAAACATATATACAAAGCAAAGTTTATATAGGATAAATAGGAAAATTCGAGAAATGTTCTCGAAATAGGAGAGGTTACTTGGTATTGAGGTGGGGGGGCGGAAATCTGAAGTGGCGATGGCGAGTAAGGAGTGTTCCAACTCCCCCTCCTCAGCTGGAGGGGAATGAATGATGGGGGCAGCAAATACTGGAAACTGTGGCCAGAGTCTGTATCATGTGCAATTGTTGAGGTTTAGGGGTTCTGGGACCCCAAAACCACAACACACAGTCCTGCCGAAAAAATTCTACCCAAGCCTTCTTTCAGTCAAAGACAAGGTTTATTAGAACATCAGTCATATTGGGCAGACTCTTAAGGAATCTGAACATTACTGAGCTATTGGCTAGATTATAAGAATCTGAACCTTTGGCTAGATTTTAAGAATCTTAGCACCTTAATGGAGTCAAGATGGACCTTATATTTATATACAGAAAGACTGTGGGAGGGATCTAGGAGTGACCAAGTAGTTTGGGGTGACTGGAGGAGGGGATCTAAGGAGGGCTGGATGGGAAGGCCTGGAACCTGGACCACATGGCCAAGGGAGGATGGCGATTACATGTGGGAAGTGGCCAAGGACTTTAGGGAGGTAAGACAATGGAGGGCTAGGCTAGGTTAAGGGTAACAGAATTGGGAGATTGGGTTTAGGTGATAACAAAAGGTCAATTGATGGGATTATAGCCTCAGGCAAAAATCCAGAGATTTGGACTTGTGGGAAAGTCCAGGATTTTTCCTTTCTGGGGTCCAGGTCCCAACCCCATCAGGATAAGCCAGATTTCTATAATAGCTAGTAAATGGAAGGAGTGGGGAAAGGTAAAGTTTTAAGGTGAAGGAAGTTTGATGCCTATGGAAAAGGCATTCCAGAGGAATTCCCCTACAATCCCCAATTCAAAATGCAGGGGAAGTAGGTTTATCCCCTTCCTGACACATCCCTGTTCTTATTATCAATCAGTCAGCTACATCCTATCTCTCTGTAACTATCCCAAAGGATTACTTTTCTTTGCTCACATTTCTGTACTCAAAATGACTTAGTCTTAAATGTGGAAGGAAAATTAGATTCTGGTCAACCCTCGTAGTTTACGCATGAGAAAACTGGAGGACCAGGAAATTAAAGTGAGTTGTCCAAGGTCCTAGAGGGAGTTAGTATAGCCTGGACTAAAATAAATGTCTGCTAATATTTAGTTCGATGCTGTTAAAGAGAAAAAGTAACAACAACAACAACAAAAAAAGCCCCAAAACACCCCTAGGTCTACAATTTCATCACTGTAGGGAACTTTGTGGGAGAAAATTACCAATTTAGATCAACACCTTCTCTGAAATTTATAGAATTAGAGAACTGCCTGGAGACCTGAATGTAAGAGAGTTGTTTGGGAGACACTCAAAAGGTTAAATGGATTGCCTGAATTCATACTGTTAGGATGTGGCAAAGGCTAGATTTGAATCCTGGCATTCCTGAATTGAATCTGAGGTCAGATCTTTATCCATTATGCCAGGTTACATCTCAGTGTAGTGTCTGAGCTTAATAAGGAGCTTAAGACAGGATTGGTGACTTTATTTCCATTTCAGTCCAGTGTTTATTCTCCTTAATGAAAGCATCTTTCATTCCCTTAATTCCTAATCTCCATCATACCCTCTATTCATTATGATGTCTCTAATTTAGGGGCAGCTACTTTTCCTTTCCAATGGAAATCTCCACTTCTGCTCTTCATTGCTGGTTTAGTATGGCTATAACTTGTACCTGACTTTCATATCCCTGAGGTTGTGTGGGCCAGGGAGAAAATGAATTTGATCTGATGGATCCCTTTCTTGGATTTTTTTTCTGGGTTAGCCAAACTCTGATCTTTCCTTAAGGTGCTGAGCTAGATAGCCTACTTTATTTGGTTGCTGGGTTATTGGGGGTCAAGCAGTCAGAGGCAGCACTGCTTTGAGAATCTTTCCTATACACATTCTAAGATTCTAGACTATTTGCTTTTCTCACATGAAAAGAGAAATGTTTGGACTTCCTTATGGAATCAACTTTCTTTTTCTGGGTGCAAATATAAGCCTCACTTAAATGTATGTTATCCCCCTAAAATGAAATATATATATATGTGTGTGTGTGTGTGTATGTATATCACACACACACACACACACACGCATACATACACACAGCCATTGAAAAGTAACTAAAGACCACACTTTCAGTTTTATGTTTGTTATTGATGGAAAGATGTGATTATTGGACTATTTCCAGTGATCTTTAGCAGGTCTTTAACACATAAGGAAAAAAAGGAAGAGGTATAGCTGCTGGTTTGGAGAAGAGAAAATGTTTTCATGGGGTTTTTTTTTGTTTGTTTTAGTTTTTTTTTTTTTTTTTTGGTAAGGGAACAGAATGGAGTCTGGAGACTAAGTGCCTGTGAACTTGACTTCAATTTTGGGAAAATTTCAAGAAAGTATTATTAAAGAGATTTTTAGTGGGCATCTAGAAAAAGAAGCAGACTGAGTCATAGGCCTAGCTTCTCTTCATCAACAGGTCATAACAGATGAACATATTTCCTTTTTGGACAGAATTTTAAAACTGTAGATCTTAGAAATGTTGGTCTAAATCTAGGCTACTTAGATTTTATGAAAGCATTTGATAATGTTTTCCAAACTAGAAAAGTTAGGTAGGAACAGATAACACTACAGTTAGGTAGATTCGGAAATGGTTGGCTGACCAGACTTAAAGAGTAGTCATTAATGGTTTTGATATCAGTTTATTAGTTTAGAAGACTATCTGCACTATCGTCTCTATTTAACATTTGGCCTGGTCCTTTACTTAGCATCATTTCAGTGGCTTGGAATAAAAACTTTATAACCATGACCACCATTGATTAGTGTTTTAAATTTTGCAGATGATTCAAAATTGAGAGGGATGGCTGACTTGTTGAATGACAAGTCAGGATCCACAAAGATCTTGATGTGCTAGCATATTGGTCCAAGGTCACTAGGGTGAAATTTAATAGTGATAAATGCTTTATACTTGGTTTCAGAAAACTTAATAGCCTAAGTACAGGATGGGGGAAACATAGTTAGACATCAGTTCATCTCAGAATGATCTGGGGCCCATAGTATACTGTGAGTTAACACTGATGGAGAATTCAAAAAATATAATTTTAAGCTTCGTACATTCAATCAGTTATTAAGCACCTGCTATGTTTCAGGCACTGTGCTAGGTTCCAAGGATACAAAAAATAAAGTTTTATATACACACACACACACACACACACACACAAAGTAGATAACAAGATGATTTTAAGGTGATAAGAGGCACTAGCAGCTTAGGAAGGTCAGGAAAATGCTTCATGTAGAGAGGGTGGCTCTTGAACTGAGCCTCTAAGTACATGAGGGTGAGGAGGGAGTAAGTTCAAGTTTTGAGAAAAGTGTTGGTTGGCCCTGCTTGTGGGAGTATCCAGTAATGTCAGGATGTTTCTTATTTTGTCTCTGGATTCCTGGTAGAGTTAGACAGAGTTTTCCATCAGTTTTTGTCCAGTGAATATCTCTCAGGAGCTTGATTTGTGCAAGACACTTTGTGGGATACAAAAATGAATGTCATGCAAGCTCTGGACTTCAGTTTTCTTATTTATAAAATTAAAGGTTGGGACTTAATCATTTCTGAGGTCCCTCAAAGTTTTAAAATGCTGTGATTCTAAAACCCAGTCTATTTCCTTGAGGAACATTGGGCTTCAATTACAGTTATTTATGTATTTCTTTTTCTTTAGGTTTAAGGTCAAATGCCATTTTCCCAAGTTTTGCTATATTCCTATAGTTTCCTTAGGATTGTAAATTTAGAGCTGTAAGGGACCTTAGAATCTTCTCCTTTTCTAGAAGAGGAAACTGAGGTCCACTGAGAATAAAGAACTTGCCTTATGGCACACAGGAAGTAAATAGTAGAGAGTTAGGATTCGAACTCAGAGCCTCCAATTTGAAATCTCATACTCACCATTGTAGCATATTGTTAGAGTTACCAAGGAATCCAGATTCCAAGTAGCATCTGCTTTGATATATGGTCACTGTCTTTCGTATTTTCAATTAGCTACATGTAATAAGGCAATAATAATAGAGGTTTTAAATTTCCCAGTGTGATTACACCTTTCTCTAAAAATAGTAATCAGAATCAAACTATGCTAATACAATTCAGATAAGAACTATGCTGGACTTGCTATTGTATAATTATCATCATCATTGTGTACTCTTTAATTGACATTTGGCTTGT